TAATGGAAATAAGTTCAAAGATGGACAGCTGATGGCCAAAATGTGATTTTAAACATTGTAATCAGCTCATAATACATCAGTGTGTGCATCCCTAGAACATACAGTATGTGTGTGTTTATACACGTCTTCTCATCAAGCCTACTTATGGCTGCCACCCTCAACCAGTTCTAAAATGTTACTTAAATTTCATACATTTAAAATCCAAAATGATGACAAAATGAGAAAGTTGACATCAGGACAAACATCCATGCCTTTGTCCAATAAAAACTGACCTGTACACATGTTTGAATGCATCAACGATGACTGGAGCAAAGTCCTGGGTGAACTCTGGTCCTTTCCTCTTGCTGTTTTGGATGACGTCATTGGCCAAATACAGGAAGGTCAGCTTGCGCGATACCTGAGCTGCACATGTTTGAAAAAAAACAAAACAAAGAAACACACATAATATCTGATTATGATTTACAAAAAGGTACAACACAACAATGCCTATTAATGGGCAAGCGCATTTTAACCACTAAAGAACTAAAAACAAAAAACAAAAGTCATGACATACAAAAAATGAAATAGAGCCGATTTAAATCTTCAACAGTTTTTTATTATTGTATATAGTATTTTATTCTATACAGTTGTGTACAGTATCTTATTCTATTTCAGTGTTCTCTAATTTTTGCTATATAACTTTGCACTGTCCACTTTCTGCTGTAACAAAACAAATTTCCCACTTATGGGACTAATAAAGGTCATCTAATCTTATCTTTAATATGCAAAGCCACGTTTAAAGAATTCAAGATACTCGTTATGCTTCACTATAAGCAGGGCTATGACCTTTGCTAATTTAATATGAGCAATGCACCAGATGCACAGGCGAACTGTGCAGTCACATCAGCTGCATGATGCAGAACAAGGTGGCCCTGCAGAAAGAATAATTTAAAAAAAAAAAAAGATTTAATCTGTGGATATTATTTCACAAGTTTAGTGCACGATATGAAGAAGCAATCTGACAAAAATGCATGTTCAGATTTGTATGCCCCAGGATTTTGAAGGCATCAAAGAGATCAAAAACAAAAGCTGATTCTTCTTACTATTTTTAACAACAGAGCACTGGCTCTTGCCTGACTTTGTTCTGGAGAAGCCGAGTGCCCGATTGAGTTCCAGTGAAGGATACTTACACCCCCCCCCCCCTCTCGGTTTGTTGTTTTTATGATAAACTAACTGATGCACAAGCCTTTGTTGTTGTTGGACGAGACACAGTCGACACTGAGGTGAGTGTAAAGCTCCGTGGAGAGCCATTTCTATCCCCACTTGCCATTAACACTGGTCTCAGTCACCACCCAAAATACCTCACCCACAAGAGGTATCATTAGGTTGTTGACTAGCACCCCGAGGAAAAATGCACCATTATTAGCTACAATTACAGTAATGCCTGATGTCCCTACAACCCAACTCACTGAATAAATTCAACAACTCCATTATGTACCGTCTACTTAATAAACTTTGTGAACATTTTTATATATAAAAAAAAAAATAAATCATTGACAGTCATCAGATACTATGAAAATCAGAAAAAAAGCTAGATCCACCAGTCATTGCTTATATTTTATCACACAACAATGTTCAATAGTCTTTCTCCAGTGAAATGATTGACACAGCTAAATGAGCCAAAAAAAGCAATGCAATTAAAGAATAAATATGCACTTACTCTTAAAACTGTTACATATGTTTAATTAAAACAATGTCATGTGGTACGTTTAACATCGACACGTTTACTCATTATGCTTCTCCTTATATAATATATGCACCATTGCAACTATGTATTTTTTTAAAAAAAAAATTATTATTTAGGGCTTTTCACTTTTATTAGGTGGTGCATTGATGATTAGAGAGGAAAGTGGGGAGAGTGAGTGCGTCTTGTATGTGGTCATCTCAAGCAAACGGCTCTGGCTGTGAGCACAATCTCCACCCACGTGATAGTCAAACCTTTTGTTTGTGCGGAGTAGCCTATCAGAAGAAAGCTGGCTTAAAGCAAAGCTATACTGTGTATGAACTGCGGTGATTTATCAAGGGTTAGTATAGGATTATTTTGATGAGTTAATCACGCAAAGCTACTGTAGCAGAGAAAAGAAATGAGCATAAGTAGCTTCCTTTATGCTTTATAGTAAAGCTCATTGTAACTGTTGATGTGGGTTTAATTTAAAGCTATTCCCTCAGGTGTTATAAAGTTTAATTTAGTGCAGCTTTAACTGATCGAGACTTACTATAAGCAAAGATGGGAGATTGTGGAGATTTTCTAACACAAACACATTTAAGGGAACACACGTTGTCGTCACTTTTCGACAATGCTACTTAGACAAAGCAGTGAAAACCTTTGGCTGGTGACCGAAAGTTGCCAGCCTTTAGCAGCCACCGTGCTAACAGGGACTCTGTGTTTTAACTTTAACAGCAGTTTGGTCTGGCAGTTTTAGCCAGAGCTAGCCTGCAGCTACATGTTACTCACTCTCTGAAGCATGCTCGCTGTGTTTGTTTGGAGGAACTCCTCGGCTCTCACCAGCCTTACCTTTTTTCAGTTCGTTGAACCAAACGTTGACAATGGTCTTCGAGTGTTTTCTGTGGTGGATGAGCCACAGCGACAGTGTCTGTACACTTTGCTGAGAGTTGCTAAGCTCGGACAGTTTCTTCTCTAAAGCCGCCTCGGAGAAAGCTGACATCTCGGCGAGATTAGGGGAGGGAGTGCGAGGCTAGACGCTGGGAGAGGCTGCTGTAAGGTTTCTCCCAAATGTGTGGACTACAGCACGCTAGCCGGTCACAGGGTCTTTGCAGGAGTTTCAGCCATCCAAACTAAATGTCGCAACCTGACTCTGCTACACAAAAGGATGGCTGGTAATACTGACTAGCTATCCCCGTCCTCTCTGTGACTGCTCGGTTGCCTGTGCTTGGGACTGCTTCTTCCTCCTTATCTTAATGGCAGCTGGGGATAAAACTTTTGGTTACCTTAGCGCCACCTTCCGGACTGGAGTGCGGGTCGCATTGGTTATTACGCTAACGAACGTTAATATGCTTAAAATCTGAAGTTAAATACAAAAAATCTGCAATATTCATCTACCATTAGTGAAGAGAAAATTTCCGTCCCGGTTTCCCTCCAAGGCGTGAGCACCGATAAGCAGAGTTTTGTCCTTTCCTCCTAATTATTCAAAGTAACACTCAGGTATGCCGTTCAGCTGGGTTAGTTACGATATCGGGAGCAGTTAGGAGAACAAAGTGATACAGAGACTGTTCAGATTGCTTTCCCAGAATCAACTCAAAGGTTTATTCATCAGACAACAGTATATATAGAGGAAAAAGGTTCGTGTGTCAGCAGATTCTCAGTTCAGACCGGTACAGACCAAATAAGGAAACGTCTTCCTGCCTTGTGAGCAGAGAAGTATCCTTTGTGTAAGTTATCAGTTCAGCTACAATTTATGATCATCCCAGCAAAATACACTCCTAGACATAGAATACAGAGTTCTTTCATTAGTGAATTCTGAAACAAACCACCTGGCCTTTAACGAGCCTTTTTCTAAGAGACAAAGAAGGGAGGATGGAGTAAGGAAGTGGTCTCGTCTCTGTGGTATTTTCGACCTTGGGGTACCAGCCTGTGAGTCTTACACATCAATTCTTGGGTCAGAGAGAAAGAGAAAAACAACTAGTAAATGGGCCTTATTGAGTAACAGTTTTCCTGTATAATATCACTATAAAACAATATCCTGTAAATGCTACCATGATATCAAAATATCACAACAATTAGATAGTAATTCATTTTTCTGAAATGATAATTTAAATATCAATCTCTATTGTTAATATATTGGACATCAGAAACATGTAATTCCACAAATTTTTTTACTATCCAGACTGACGAGTATTGCATATATTTATGCAGTCTAAGATTCATGATGTCCTCCTCCTCTCAACTTTTACTTCTGCCTCTTATTCCTCCTACATTTCTTAGGAGGCCACTGCAGTGATATCAACCTGTGTTTATTTTCTTCGTGACCACCTCTGTTGTACAATCAATCATATGCACATATTTTAAAGTTGAGTACATGATATTGTGTTGTTCCTGTTCCAATCTATTGCCCAAAGTTTACATGCATCTGCATAAACATTAATATAATGTATTTTTTGATGTATTTACTGTTCATAATAAATATTCTGTGCATATAGAAATTAGTTACTATCTAGCACTACCTGGATTTACTGGAAGTGTGATTCACATTCATAGATAGCATGTACTAAATTTGTGAGCTGTTTCCATAGGAGCCAGGTGCTGCTAATCAAATGCACTTGATTAACTGATCATCAGCAAGTGTGAGCACATCTATATAAGCAGAGGTTTTGGCAATTTACTGGTAGGCAACTGATCTGTGTTAACACAATGCCACAATCAATCCAGCAGTAAAGAGCCCCGAAAGATTTGTGTCCAGTGTTGCTGCAAAGAAAAGATACAATTTCAAAAAGACTGAACAAATGTGGCTTGTTTGAAAAGGTCGCCAGGAGAAACGAACACGGCAGCACAGCTCAGGTTTGCAAAGTTGCACCACAAGACCTCAGAACTGAAAAGATGAGCTTGCACAGAAAGCCACTACGTTATTGCTGATAAACATGGTTCTGCAAGGTATTGAATAATGGGCATACTACAGAGTCAAACTTACTCCAAAGCAAACACAGAACCATTAACGTGTTTTAATATTTACAGTAAGACTGGCTTTTTACAGTGATCTGCATTAATCGCTGAGTGGACAAAGTTTGTGTTTCCTCGCTGAATTTGAGCAAGCTTGTGAGTATTACGTCACAGGACATTACATAACCTACCGTGACTGCTTGAAAGGAAAAATAACAAACTCTTTTGTTTGAACCTGCAAGCAAAACGATATTTGGTCACATAATTGGTTAAAGTTCAAACTCTACTGGTGCAAAAAAAAAATAAAATAAAAATTCAGCCACACGGGTCAGAACTGTTTAAAAAAAAAAAACTGTTTAATTTCATAAAAGCAGTCAAACATATCTCAATATTTCTCCTAAAAAAATACAGTGAACCACTTAAACCTAATGTGATGTTTCACACATTTGTCTTGTTTTCTGGAGTTAAAAAGGCATAAATGTAGATTTCAAAAACAAACAAACAAAAAAACAAAAAACAAAACACTGCTGTAACGGTCAAAAACAGAAAACAAATAGCCAGTTTGAACAACTTCATAACAAACACAATAAAAGAATAAAAATATACACACAGGCAGCTGTTTAGTGTTTACGGAGCACGTTTCTCAGCCTTCACTGAATGTGAACTTGGAAATACACGAGCGAGTTCTATTTAAATGCCCAGTATCTTCAATTCTTCTACTTCTCTTATAACGACTGGATTAGTGGATAAGGAGTGCTGTTTCACCTCATTGGTGCTCTTTGACTTTCAGTCTCCACAAAGTTTAAACCTAAAAGTCCCAGCAGACAAAAAAAAAACCAAAAAAAAAAAAAAACCCCGACACTGCTTATATTACTGCACCTCCATCAGCAGGCTCACATTCATTACAGAAATCAGCAGAACTATAATAAAAAATAAAAAAAATAAAAAAGTCACATTGCAAGTAAATCCCCCGCTGGACCATCCAAATGTGATTTGATTCAGCTGAAATACAGATCAGTTTGGGACGCAGCACACTGAGGTTTAGAAGGTTGGCTGAAGGCATAAGAGTGTGTTAGACTCCAGTCCGTAACACTGCTGCAGACCGGAGGGAGAAAGTGCTGGCCAGGGTTTGCCAGAGAGCCAGTGTTGTAGCTGGGGTAAGACATCCACCCACGCTGTCCTTGACTGGCTTCACAAGATGTAGTCGGTATCCCATAATTGTGTGGAGCTGCCTGGGCACAGTCATTGGTGAGCGCTGTGTAGTGTGCAATGCTGCCGCTGTACACACAGGGATCTACTGATTGAGTTAGCATGTTCACACCAGCACTATTTATATAAGGACCCAGATGACCCCACACATCGTAATACCCACTTACACTGCCCGTCTGAAGACTTGCATTATCGCACGGCATGTGCGAATTCTGAAAGTGTTGTTGGTAATAATGTGGACCAGCGTCTATGCGTGCCTCTTCTCTCAAACCCTGCTCTCTTGTTCCATTCTTATCCTCTGCAGCTGGCTTATACCACTTTTTAGAAGATATCTCGGCTGACTTTTCTTGGTCGTCATGATGCCTGTTCTCCCTTCTTTCCCAGTAAACATAGTCGTTTCTCCCTGTTAGGTCTTCAGACTGACTGACGTGCACGCCGTCACTGACATAACCATCTCTGTTTTGAAAATGGGGGATTGTAAAGTTTCCTTCTGGCGTGTACCCACCAGTCTCTGGACCTCCATCACAGGGGCTGTGCTGTAGTGGAGAGGTTTCTGCATGGTTTAGTTCAGATGACAAACCATCACAGTCTAACTCCACAATCTCTGACCCCGGGGAGGACGTGAGATCTAAATTAAAGGGAGGGGATGTAGCTGATGGAGGGAGGCTTTTGCTGCTGAAAGACATCCTCTTCATCAGTAATAAACCTTTGGTAATAGGCAGGCTGACATTAAAAACAGTCTCTCTCTTTGCTTTTACTCTTTTCTTCCTCTTTGACGTCATTAAAGTGCATTTCTCTGACATGCCTTCAGCAGATGTCTGGTTCATGCTCAGCCCTTAGACATAAAGAAAAGGAATAAGTTAAAAGCAGTTTGCTGAGAAAGTGTGAACTCTAGCTTGCAAAGATACAAACCTTTGGCATCTATTTCCTTTTGTTTAATGTCAGCACCTTTCCATCCAGATTGCAGCATCTTTATGCCTGGAAAACATCCAAAACAATACAGTGGCATACAAAAATAAAATAAAATAAAGAAATGCAAGGAACACTGGGTGGGGGAAAAAAAAAAAAAAAAAAAAAATATTCAAGTGGGCATTAATGAATACGACAAAATC